GCATTGTACTTCCCATTTCCAGGACTCGAAGTCCGACTATATGAAAATAACCGGTTTCCCTGAATCCCTTCACTAAATATTACCCTGCTCACACTCCAACAGATCGTCAGGTCCCAAGTACCATTCGTCTCCATTCACTCCTATGTAACACGCTCACGCACGCTTGCTGGAAGTCCAAGCCCCTTACCCACAAAACCTCCTTTACCCCCTCTCTCCAACCCTTTCGAGGACGACCCCTACCCCGCCTTCCTTCCCCTATAGATTTATATGCTTTCCATGTCATTCTACTTTGATCCATTCTCTCTAAATGACCAAACCATCTCAACAACCCCTCTTCTGCCCTCTGACTAATACTTTTATTAACTCCACACCTTCTCCTAATTTCCACACTCCGAATTTTCTGCATAATATTTACACCACACATTGCCCTTAGACAGGACATCTCCACTGCCTCCAACTGTCTCCTCGCTGCTGCATTTACCACCCAAGCTTCACACCCATATAAGAGTGTTGGTACTACTATACTTTCATACATACCCTTCTTTGCCTCCATAGATAACGTTTTTTGACTCCACATATACCTCAACGCACCACTCACCTTTTTTCCCTCATCAATTCTATGATTAACCTCATCCTTCATAAATCCATCCGCCGACACGTCAACTCCCAAGTATCTGAAAACATTCACTTCTTCCATACTCCTCCTCCCCAATTTGATATCCAATTTTTCTTTATCTAAATCATTTGACACCCTCATCACCTTACTCTTTTCTATGTTCACTTTCAACTTTCTACCTTTACACACATTCCCAAACTCATCCACTAACCTTTGCAATTTTTCTTTAGAATCTCCCATAAGCACAGTATCATCAGCAAAAAGTAACTGTGTCAATTCCCATTTTGAATTTGATTCCCCATAATTTAATCCCACCCCTCTCCCAAACACCCTAGCATTTACTTCCTTTACAACCCCATCTATAAATATATTAAACAACCATGGTGACATTACACATCCCTGTCTAAGACCTACTTTTACCGGGAAGTAGTCTCCCTCTCTTCTACACACCCTAACCTGAGCCTCACTATCCTCATAAAAACTCTTTACAGCATTTAATAACTTACCACCTATTCCATATACTTGCAACATCTGCCACATTGCTCCTCTATCCACTCTATCATATGCCTTTTCTAAATCCATAAATGCAATAAAAACTTCCCTATCTTTATCTAAATACTGTTCACATATATGCTTCAATGTAAACACCTGATCTACACATCCCCTACCCACTCTAAAACCTCCTTGCTCATCCGCAATCCTACATTCTGTCTTACCTCTAATTCTTTCAATTATAACCCTACTGTACACTTTTCCTGGTATACTCAGTAAGCTTATTCCTCTATAATTTTTACAGTCTCTTTTGTCCCCTTTCCCTTTATATAAAGGGACTATACATGCTCTCTGCCAATCCCTAGGTACCTTCCCCTCTTTCATACAAAAGTACCAACCACTCCAACACTATATCCCCCCCTGCTTTTAACATTTCTGTCATGATCCAATCAGTTCCAGCTGCTTTACCCCCTTTCATTTTACGTAATGCCTCACGTACCTCCCCCACACTTACATTCTGCTCTTCTTCACTCCTAAAAGATGGTATACCTCCCTGACCAGTGCATGAAATTACTGCCTCTGTTTCTTCCTTAACATTTAAAAGTTCCTCAAAATATTCTCGCCATCTACCCAATACCTCCATCTCCCCATCTACTAACTCCCCTACTCTGTTTTTAACTGACAAATCCATATTTTCCCTAGGCTTTCTTAACTTCTTTAACTCACTCCAAAATTTTTTCTTATTTTCATTAAAATTTCTTGACAGTGCCTCTCCCACTCTATCATCTGCTCTCCTTTTGCACTCTCTCACCACTCTCTTTACCTTTCTTTTACTCTCCATATACTCTGCTCTTCTTATAACACTTCTGCTTTGTAAAAACCTCTCATAAGCTACCTTTTTCTCTTTTATCACACCCTTTACTTCATCATTCCACCAATCACTCCTCTTTCCTCCTGCCCCCACCCTCCTATAACCACAAACTTCTGCCCCACATTCTAATACTGCATTTTTAAAACTATTCCAACCCTCTTCAACCCCCCCCACTACTCATCTTTGCACTAGCCCACCTTTCTGCCAATAGTCTCTTATATCTCACCCGAACTTCCTCCTCCCTTAGTTTATACACTTTCACCTCCCTCTTACTTGTTGTTGCCACCTTCCTCTTTTCCCATCTACCTCTTACTCTAACTGTAGCTACAACTAAATAATGATCCGATATATCAGTTGCCCCTCTATAAACATGCACATCCTGGAGCCTACCCATCAACCTTTTATCCACCAATACATAATCTAATAAACTACTTTCATTACGTGCTACATCATACCTTGTATATTTATTTATCCTCTTTTTCATAAAATATGTATTACTTATTACCAAATTTCTTTCTACACATAGCTCAATTAAAGGCTCCCCATTTACATTTACCCCTGGCACCCCAAATTTACCTACTACTCCTTCCATAACATTTTTACCCACTTTAGCATTGAAATCCCCAACCACCATTACTCTCACACTTGATTCAAAACTCCCCACGCATTCACTCAACATTTCCCAAAATCTCTCTCTCTCCTCTACACTTCTCTCTTCTCCAGGTGCATACACGCTTATTATAACCCACTTTTCACATCCAATCTTTATTTTACTCCACATAATCCACATAATATCATATATAAATTGTAAGAAACATGATTATTCAGCATGTGGAAAACCACTCATAAACTGCACTTAATTTTGATTTCTCAGCCTTAACCCTTTGACTGTTTTGGTCGTATATATACACGTCTTACGAGCCACCGTGTTTGACGTATACATACTCATAAATTCTAGCGGCTTCAAATCAAGCAGGAAAAAGCTGGTAGGCCCACATGTGAGAGAATGGGTCTGTGTGGTCAGTGTGCACCATATAAAAAAATCCTGCAGCACGCAGTGCATAATGAGAAAAAACTCCGTTTTTTTTGTTTTGTTTTTGTTTTTTAATTAAAATGCCGACTTTATGGTCTATTTTCGTATAGTATTTATGGTTATATTCTCGTTTCCTCAGTCTCATTTGATAGAATGGAAAACATATTATAGAAATAGAGGTGATTTTGATTGATTTTACTATGAAAAGAACCTTGAAATGGAGCTCAAAGTAGGGGAAATGTTTGATTTTTGCCGATGTTCAAAAGTAAACAAATGTCATTTTTCAATAAATGTCCAAGTAGCCATTCTAATATGCAGTCATGAATGGGTTGACATTATTTATACAATTATTACAATATTGCAGTAGTCTGCATAACAGTAAATCTATTTTTTGTATGAATAAAAATTCAAAAAAGAAAGCAAGAGTAATATCAGAGGGGCCTGGAGACGTGACTGATGAACAAAGAAAATGTTATTTTAGAGCCAGGAATGTCTGCATTGTTCATTCTGGACCCTATTTTTGAAATTGTCATATTTTTTAATTTTTGTGAAATTGGCCAAATTGCAAATTTCTGACCACATTGGGTTGTTGAAATTGGTAAATGGGCAGTTTCTTGTACTCAATCGATAGAAAAAATGGAGTTCTAAAGAAATAGCTAGGAGTTTGGTTGACTGGAACAATGGAATTAGCGGAAAATAGGGCTCAAAGTGGGCGAAATCGCCGATTCGTAAATATCGCCGAGGTCGCTAACTTCATGAGAGTGTAATTTTGTCAGTTTTCCATCAAATTTCGTTCGTTTGGTGTCATTACAATCAGGAAAAGATTCTCTATCATTTCATGAGAAAAATGCTTTTTTTTTTTTGGAAATTTTGCAACACCAGGAGACACCTCAGTATTTGGGGTTGCAACAGTCAAGGGGTTAATACAAACTCCATTGTCTGTCAATCATTCAATTTGTTGCTTCCTGTGGCTACACCCCCCCCCCTTTCTCCTGTTGCTAATTTTTTATTATTTTGTTATCCTCAGTACCCATAATTTGAGCAAGTATAGTGACAGTGAAAAAAATTATAATTGCTTATAGATATATTGAAATTAATAGAAATAATATACTGATTGATTAATTTGCATTTTTTCAAATTTTACCAATATCAACTTTGAAAAGTTTTCAAAGTATTTTGAATCCCAAAGACGTCCATTTTGACCCCCTCTAATTTGGAGCTCAAGCTGCATAAATTTTGAGCCTATTTGAGCTGCTATCCTGTTTAGAAAACTATTTTCTGAGCCCTGTTATATAAAACTGAGCAATTTGGAACCACCTTTTGAACTGCTTCTACCTCAAATTGGGTAAGCTAACTACCTCTTTCTGAACCCCATTTTGTTTGAGCCAATCCTCTTGAACCAAATATCTGAATCCTTTTACCTTCAATTCTAATTCTATTTGAACCCCACATACCTCTTTCCATACCCCCACCTCTTGTTCAAACCCTATTAAACATGCCTGTAATTCTGAGTCCGTATTATTTCAACTTTGAGTCCATTCTACGTTTTTTAAACAATACATCATTTTCGAACCTATTTGACTTAGTCAAGCACCTCTGTACCATACCTCTTAACTGAACCCTAATAACCTTGCCTGGAATTCTGAGCCTAATTTGTGAGCCCTGTTATATTCACTTTTGAACATATTTGAATCCCAGTTGCCTCTAATTTTGAACTTGTACCGTTATTTAAATTGCAATTTTAGTTAACTTGTGGCAAGACAAGTTTTGAATGAATGATGGTGAAAGTGTAGAGAGAGCCAACTTTGGTACAAGAATAAGTGGTAAATTATTATAATCAAAAAAGAAGCGCTAAGCCACAAGGGCTATACAGAATAAGTGGTAAAAAAAAAAAAAAATGTGAATAGTGTGTGAATGAAAATAAAGCATGCACCAAGGTAGACTATCATGAGTAGAATTTTGTAAATAAGTGCTGATTTTTATTACAGGATTGTGTCAGCATGTACTGAGGGGCCAGCAAGATGATTACTGAATGAAGATGGCAGAGAGAGTGTCACATTATATGGAAGACACCTGAGGGCTTAATCCCAAGCCTGTGTACCACCATAACAACATACTGGAGTAAGAGCAAAAAGGCACAATACCATAAATGGAACAATACACAACCCACATATAGGAGAGAGGAGCTACGACGGTGTTTCGGTCCAACTTGGACCATTTACAAAGTACTGGAGTGAAAGAGATGGATCTAAACACTACCATAAAAATTAACTGGAATGAGAGAGATATTAACCCTTAAATGGTCCAAACGTATATATACGTTTTTTCAACATCTGAAAGTATGTAAAAAAATGTAGATCTTTTTTGTTTTACATTTGAAAACGTGTAAAAAAAACTTTTATCTACATTTTTTTTTGTTATATTTGAAAATATGTAAAAAAAAAAGTAGATCTACTTTTGTAGCATTATGAATTTGAACATCGATCTGTTTGGACCGTTTAAGGGTTAAGTTAAAAATAGACCCAGTGAAAAGCAGGGATGTCTTGGGCACAATTAGGCAACACTGTGTCAACATCCATAATCCAAGACTATTCAGTCTGCTACCAGCAGATATCAGAAATTTTGCCAGAACAAGTGTAGTTTTTAATAGGAGACCACTATCTGCCAGATCACTCAGGCTGTAAAGGAACCTGTCCTCTACCCTAGTTGCTATAGTACCCATACAGGTTTAGCACTCCTCTCTCTAGTGTAATAGTGGGTGAGTGGGGTATAGGTATTTGTGCCTTGACACCAGTGATGGGATCTTGAGCCATGGAATAGGAGCTTACCTCCCTGTCCTTGGACTAAATATGATTGCATCCCATACTCCCAAGGCAATGTATGACCTTTTAAGTGTTTATTGCTCCCTCATGAATGAAAAAAAATAGGCTTTTTTCATCACAAAAATCCCTGAATGGACCGTATTTTAACTGCCTTAACCTTTCTGCCTTTGTTATGATTTATATAATTACTGGGATGCTTGTAGGAACTTCAGGGGGACTTTTTAATTACTGGGATGATACATGGTAATCTCTCCAATAGTCTATTTGGATTTCACAAGGGCCGCTTAACTATTGACCCCTTACTCCGCTTAGATACCTATTTTCATAATGCCTTTGCTAGTAACATTCAGTTATTGCAGTCTTTTTTGATCTTGAAAAGTCATATGACATTACTTGTAGATATAACAACTTGGCCCAATCTCATTCCTTAGGCCTCTGAGGCAGTCTGCCATTTTTCCTTAAAAACTTCTTATCTGAGAGACATTTCCATGTTTGGGTAAATAATTTGCTTTTTCCGGACTTTGTCCAAGCTGAAGGTGTTCCTCAGGAATGTGTACTTTCCACACTTTTTCTCCTTGCTATAAATTATCTGGCAGTGTATGACCTTTGTCGGTTTAGTGATTTCTTTGATTATAATAAATGATCTAGCCTTTGTTCTCCTATCTAATATTTGGTAATCACTGTATGTTGATGACTGCCACATAAGTAGCACCATCCAGGATGTTGTCAACTGTGTTTCCCATTGGGCCACTACTCATGGGTTTAAATTTTCTGGTGCTAAAATGCACCAAATTACTTTCACCAGATGTTCTATTGTCTCTGATACTCCATTATACCTGTATGGCTCCCATATCCCTGAATGTGATATGATCAGATTTCTCATCCTTCTGTTTGATCACTGGCTGTCCTGAAAACCTCTCATTACCTGCCTGAAAGCAACTTGCCATAGCCGGCTGAACCTCCTTAGAACCCTCGCTCATCTTTCGTGGGGGTGGATCGTAAAAACCACCTTCAGTCCTAATTTTATTGAAACTAGACTATGGGGACCAGTATATTCTGCAGCCTCCCCCACAATTCTCTAAACTTGATCCCATCTATCATCAGGGACTACATTAATGTCTAGGTGCTTTTCGCTCCTCACAATCGCCGTGATACCCATTGCCTCTTGTTGTTTTGTCTGCTCTTGTGACCTTCACAGTCCTTCTACATACAGGCTAGTAACGGACATTAGTAGAGGTCCATTATTTGTTCATTCCATCCCTTTGCTCTTTGTCTTCACTCTTAACTTCTCTTCAGTTGCCCCCTCTATATGTTCATCTAGCATCTAGGTCTGTCCTCCCCCTCATGTCTATTTTTCCCCACTGCCGTGCATGAAGGTTCAAATACCTACAGTTGCATCTTGCTCCCTTTTTCTCAACCACTTCCAGTCTCATTCTCATGCCATTGCAGTGTACATTGATGGTTCTAAATCCTCTCATGGTGCCAGGTTTGCAGCATTGTATGCGGTCATTTATTAGACTTCACATTTTTACAGTTGACCTGGCAGTTCTCATTGCAATTATCCATATTGCATCTAAGTCTGCCTAAACATTTGTAGTAGTCTCTGACTAGTGCTTTGCAAGCTATTAAAAAATTTGATTTGCCTTATCCCCTAGTTCTTATACAACTTTGTGCTGCATTTGTAGCAGAATCAAAGAATATTCTGCTGAGTCCCTGGTCATATTGATGTTCAGGGCAATGAGTAGGCGGACTGCTGTAATCTTTAACCTCACATCAGCCGTTGGTCTGATATGACTAATAAATATTCCATCAAGCCATGTTTAGGTTTCTGGCCTTATCAGTGATACTGAGATTGGGAGACTACGCTCTCCCATCTTACTCATGAGTATCTCGTGGACGTGCCCTGTTTCACTCTGAAGTTCCAATTTCAGTGTGCCACATTCAACAAGCATGCAAAATTTACCTCCATTACCACTAACACCCTTTAGCTTGCCTCCTTCCTCTCCCCCTTTGACTTGTAGGTTTAGCACTTTTTTTTTTTATTATATTCCTTGACTTTTTGACAGCATCCAATTTATTACACAAACTTTGATAATACTTCAACACTCCTCACAGCCCTTTTTAACTCTTGTTCTTCTCTTCTTCCCTGGTTCTCCTCTCCAGCAACATCCCCGTCTCTCATTGCTGTATGACCCTGGTGGGTTTAGGGCTTTTTTTTATTACAAGTCTTGGTGTTCTCTCTCATGGCAGTAATTTCATATCTAGCAGGCAGTGTGTTTGATGCACTTTCGTTTGATCAAGTGTATTATTATTATTATAATCAAGGGGGAAGCGCTAAACCCGGAGGATTATACAGCGCCTGGGGGGGGGGATGTGGAAGGCATTCAGGCTTAATTCAGGGAACTGGAGCACAGATCCAATTCCCTAAATCAAGAGCCCCTCACCAACATCAAGGAACCTTCTTTGTGTAATCCTTTTGATTTTGTCTGGTGTTAGGGCTTGCCAATATGAACTTAAAAATGTAGCATAAGATATCTTAAAACCTTTTGTAATTGATGTTTGTCTATTTTAGCCTTTCCCACTTTTGAAGAACTCCCAGTCTGAGGAATTTTATATACCCTAGTGGGTTTAGTGCTTGGTTTTGATCATGCCAGAAAATCTATGGGAATTTCACTCCAATTTACTATGCTGATTGCAACTGTATTTTTGTGACAGGCACTTTTCACAACTCAGGTGGGTGGACAGTGAACACATGACATTCTAGGTTTTATTACAGAATGAAAATACCACACACCTCAACTGCAACTTTTCATATAAAAATAAAGGGTCAAAGCACTGTGCAACTTTCCATAACTGCATTGAAAATTGATGCATTATAATGGCCTTTCCATCCACTTTTCAATTGCAACCCAGAAAAATTCCACAACTCAGAATCTGAGAGAACTACAAAATTTATGCTAACACGCATGCCCTCAATCTCAAGATGGTGGATAAATGAACAGGGATTAAGCATGCTGAACTAAAGACAAGGAGCCTTCCACAAAATTAAGGCAAATTACTCTACAAACCTTGTTGATTTATCCACTAAGATTCTCATGTATCTAATAAGCTAACATAGGACAACTAAGCACTAAACCTACAAGGGTCATACAGCACTGCAGTGCAGTGAAAAATAAAAGCACTTGAAGTGTATACACGTCAGCCATCTCCCGAGGCAGGGTGACTCAAAATAGAACACTTTCACCATCATTCATACAGTGTCTTTGCAGAGGTGCTTAGATACAACAGTTTAGATGCCACTCCAAATAGCCGGTATCTCAAACCCCTGGAAAGTGCTTCTCACCTCCAGGACTCGAGTCTGGCTAATTGCCAGACTGAGTCATGTCCCAAAAACCCATTTGTCTCTAGTCACATGCTCACACATGCCTGCTGTATGTCCAAGCCTCTTGCACACAAAACTTCCTTTACCCCTCCCTCCATCATGCACCCTCCAAATCCTATTTTGGTCCATCCTCTAAATGACCAAATCTCTTTTCAGCCCTCTGAATAATGCTTTTAATAACTCCACACCTAACTTCCAAACTATGAATTCTCTGCATAATATTTATGCCACACATTGCTCTCAGACACATCTCCACTGCTTCCAGCCTCCCCACTGTAACATTTACAACCCATGCTTCACACCCAAATAAGTGTTGGTACCACTATACTCTCATATTTGCCATTTGGAGGGTCATCTAAACTGTCGTATATATGCTCCTCTGGCAAGACAGTGGTAGTATGAATGATGGCGAGTGATTTTTTCAGGTCACCCTACTTCAGGAGACAGCCTGTATTTATGTGCATCCTGAGTCCAATGACTGTTGAACTTGTACTGATTGTCTCTGTATTTAGAGTGGGCTTGGCAAAAACCATACTTTGGTTTTACAGGGATGCAAGATTGCAGATTGGTGGAGGCAGCCAAGAATGTGAAGTTGATGGCTACCACTGGAGAGGCACTCAGAACAACTTCATATTCAACCTGAAAATTAATACCATAATGTAATTCATATGGCTCATTAATGCTGCAATTTACTCCTACACTATCAAAAAAACTGTACTTTAATAACAAAAATATGGAAAGCTCCTAGCAAAATGTACTACAACTTTCTGATCTTGTTCCAGCACTGACCCACTATTGGTAAAGAAAACTTTTAATTAAGAATGGAACAATACCAATTTTTTTGCCAATCCACTACTAAATTTTAGTCCATTACTAATAATAACATCAAAATTAGCCAATACTAATTGGTACCAATGCTGATACCATCAAAATTTTCTCATACTAACTGATCCCAGTACTAATACGAATATCAAAATTTCCTGATACTAGCTGATCTCTGTACCAAGTACAGTGGAACCTCTTACTTGCGAGTTTAATCCATTCCATGACCTTGCTCACAACTGGATTTGCTCGTTTGCAGAGTCAATTTTCCTCATTTAAATTAATTGAAATGCAATTAATCCGTTCCAGTGGAATTTTGTACTTCAATAATTTCGCTAATATCAACTCTACAGCTTATTTATCTATCAGAGTTCATCTAATATGACATAAACAATATGAATAACACAGAAACATGATATATACTCTAGAATGAATAAAATATGTCATTCATGTAGTGGTATGAGCGGTGTCGGCGGTGGACAAGAGTTTGGAGACCGGGCAAAATACTTCATGAATAATTTCGCTAATATCATCTATATGGCTTATTTATCTATCACAGTTCATCTGACATAACAATATAAATAAAATAGAAACATGATATATACTCTACAATGAATAAAATATGTCATTATGTAACAGGTAGAGGCGGCCACAACCGCTCCCTCTTTGTTGTGGTAAACACTGCCATGTAGTGATGGCCTTTTGAAGCTATTATTATATGTAGTACATTATTATTATTATAAGTATTATTATACATATTATTATTATTGTATTATATTATTATACAATTATGAGGAAGGGTTGTTGAGGTGGTTCGGACATGTAGAGAGAATGGAGCGAAACAGAATGACTTCAAGAGTGTATCAGTCTGTAGTGGAAGGAAGGCCTAGGAAAGGTTGGAGGTAAAGGAGGTTTTGTGTGCGAGGGGCTTGGACTTCCAGCAGGCGTGCGTGAGCGTGTTTGATAGGAGTGAATGGAGACAAATGGTTTTTAATACTTGACGTGCTGTTGGAGTGTGAGCAAAGTAACATTTGTGAAGGGGTTCAGGGAAACCGGCAGGCCGGACTTGAGTCCTGGAGATGGGAAGTACAGTGCCTGCACTCTGAAGGAGGGGTGTTAATGTTGCAGTTTAAAGCACCCTTCTGGCAAGACAGTGATGGAGTGAATGATGGTGAAAGTTTTTCTTTTTCGGGCCACCCTGCCTTGGTGGGAATCGGCCAGTGTGATAAAAAAAAAAAAAAATATTATATAAATAATTTGTAACTTTTATTCACACAAAAAATATAAGATTCACCGTTATTCCTTATTGCAATAATTGTATAAATAATGTCAACCCATTCACGGCTGCATATTGAAACAGCCAAGCAATGGACCATTTCTCCTAGGTTGAGCTCTATTTCAAGGTACTTTTCATTGTGAAAGCAATCAAAATCATATCTATTTCTGTAATATATCTTCCTTTCTATCAAATGAGACCAAAAAAACGAGAATACAACCATAAAAACCATTCAAAATTACCACTAAGGGGTGGCTAATTGCTGAGAAGTGAACTCCATTACTTATGCTTAGATTTCTTTCATTTTTGGTGTATGTTAAGAAGGATCTTTCCACCATACATTGCCCAAGTTTCAATAAGATAGTCCAACAAACAAGAGATACAATTCCCGAGATCAAGAACAAGAGCCCCTCACCAGTGTCAAAGAACCTGCCTTGAGGTCTGCTCGCTTGTGGAAATTTTGCTCGTGTATGGAAGCAAACAATCGACCCATCAACTGCTCGTATTTGGAAAAACTCGCATGTGGACACGCTCACAAGTAGAGGTTCCACTGTACCAAGGTTATTAGCATCTGAAATTGAAGAGAATCTTTTTAAGGTGACACCAAAAGTATGAAATTTGATGGAAAACTCACAGAATTATGCAGGTGCAAAGTTAGCATTCTCAGTGCAGTTTCTCCCATTGAGTCCTATTTTAGGCCAATTCCATTGTTCCAGTCTACCAAATTCTTAGCTATTTCACTAGTATGCCTTCCATTCTACCAAGCACAAGAAACTGTCCATTCAACTATCCTATAAAGTGATCAGAATTCAGTAATTTGGCATCCCAATAACTGAATCAGACCTATTAAAACCCCATAAAACAGATTTGAGGTTGTAGGAGGTCCTACCATCCTGTGGAATATCAGCAAAAACTGAATATTTCCCCTGCTTTAAGCTCAACTTCAAGCTACTTACTGTCCTGAAACCAATCATCTCTATTTCAATATATAAAATACCAAGAAACAGCCAATGAACCCATAAAAATCATCAGAGAACACACCTCAAATTCACCATTTTAAACCATGCTCACAGTCATTTTGTTTTTCCCATCATGCACCACATGAGGCAGGATTTTTTACATTGTGCACATCTACTGCAGAGACCCATTCTCTCGTATCTATACCAAAATTTACCACTCACAGCTTACCTGAGTGAACTGAGCTCAAGACTACGGCAGGTGCCCTAGTAGGGGAAACAGAGAGAGATCTCTGAGCATTAGGATCAGGAACACGAGTGCCTGCTACAGGCAATGACTAAAAACGAGTGTGTCTGTGGCATGCAAAGAGTACGTAACCTTTATTCGGCGCATGTACACACCCTCATTTACAGGCTATCTCCCCCAACCAGCAAACCAGGTGACTGAGAGTTGACGATGGGGCCCCGTCATTCAACCAGTACCCAGGTTCCAGCCAATGAGAAGATGGTTTTGGCAATCGCAGAGGTTATGTGGGTACCACTCTCCTGTCTGCCCTTGTCATTCCCATTCTAGAGCTGGTTGAAGCATGGTCTGCTCTCTAGTGGTTTCTATTCTGCCTTGCTTACCATGGAGTGCACTAATACCTATCACTGTACATAGTGTATATAGTGTACATACTTCTGTTCTAAATTGGTGAAGGATAATATAAGTCAAAAGTTTTCTGCTGTGTTTATTTTGCTCCCTTTGCACCCAGGATAACAGGCCATTTGGACTCCTGGGTTGTAATAGTGTCCAACATAGGGACAATTTTGGACACCTCATGATGTTCAAAAAAGGCTATATTAATAGTTAAGGAAGAGGATTTACATCAGCAAAAGTGTATAGAGGCTGCCCTAATTGTTGTTAGCAAAACCATCAATCAAAAATCTGGAAGTTACACTATATCTAACTTGCTAATCAACAGAATATTACTCATTCTGGAGACCACTGTAACATATTGTTGACAGGTCCTTCTCAAACCCAACCCATCTCACCACGATTGCTCAATTACTATCCTCCTACGGATCACCATCTGACTCTTTCCACTATATATACTCATTCTTAGTTATTTCTGTATTAGGACTGAAGCAGCCATACATAGCAAAAAGTTTCCTCTAATAAACGTCTTGAATTGTACTTAAGTGTCTTTCTTCAAAGCTTCCACTAGCACTCAGACACCACATCCATGCTGGTCTCACTTTTCCACTTCTTCCAATCAGATTTCAAGACATACACAGTTAGTTTTGACATACCACATGGAAAAGTTACAGCTGCTTAAGTTTAAAATGATACAGTGGGAAGAAGTTACAGGCAATGAAGTTTATGATAGAGCAGAGAGGTTATAGCTGCTGAAGTTTATAATGAAGAAGTTACAGCTGCTTAAGTTTATAATGATACAATAAGTACTGTAAATTATTAATTGTTTCATCAACATTCTTGCATTATACGAGGTGTGGGGTTTTTCTAATTCCTTACAAAGACTTGCACAAGTGTGAGACAGAGGTAGAACTGGAAATGTGTAAATTGACAGAATCCATTACTGAAAAAATGCTATCATGATTAAGAAATTTGGGAAGATAAATCTTTGAAGACAGTTGCAATGTGGTTATTTCGAAAGAACATAAAGGCACAATACCGTGACTGGAGCAATACATAAATAACCTGCATATACGAGAGAGAAATTTAATGTTTTAAAGTAAAAATATGCCCCCAACCTCCACACATGAAAAAATTTTCACCGCAACAAGTATAACTTGATTTGCAAAGTTGTTGGATAATGGAACTAAAGAAGAGTGGCAATTAGTAGTATGAAAAAAATTATAGAATAATAAAAGCAATTAAGAGCAAGGGAGATTTAGCAGCAATTACAGACAAGATTGTTCCCCGAAGGTCACAGTAATGAAACAAACTTGTTATATGATCAATTTCAAAATAGACTTCATATAGTCTACAATATATGGACAACAGAATCTGTGGGGAAGATAATAAAACCTATTAAAAAAATATTAAGTATGGAATTCTGCTTACCTGGTAATTGCTAAGACATTGTCTACATCAGTCTTGAAACAGGAAGGTATAGCCTCATTTATGACATACAGTAGAACCCCCACATCTGTGGATTCAGTTTCCACTGTGGCCTGAAAATAATCCTTAATTTTGCTTAATAATAACACCAGGGCACAAAACTAGTGATGATGGCAGTTCTTCAAACTCTAAGAGAGGCCGTGAAGTGCTTCCCACCAGTGAAAAAGTGCTAATTCTCAACTTATTGTGCGTAATTTATCAATTAATTTTTATCAGGGATGTATGTAAACGAAAAATGACACCTATAGGTTTCATTACTACCAGCGGTATTGGGTATCCACAGTAGGTGCTGGAATGCATCCCCCGCAGGTACAGAGGGACTACTGTACGTTGCACAGCAAATGTTTTCTGAGAAATGCTCACCAAGTGTAGCTTACATATGGCCACTGAAAAAATAAATAGAATGAGAAAGTTGCAGGATAATCACACACTAATTTATACACACAAACAGCAACAGACAATCCTGTTTGAAAACATTTTACTTAAGCCACACAGACTGATGAATAAAAGTCATGTGATACAAGATATGAAACACATACATCCCACATAAAGTGAAGATATTATAATATGTAAAAGAGTACTCATCATTATAGTATGCTGGATGGAAAGCACCTAGTGTACTTTATTATCTACCTTGGTAAGTTCATCAATGAGACAAAAAATTATGCTGATCCTGCAACTGGAGGCAGAACATCTCAGGATTCCCAAGGCTGCATCTTAAGTGCCTTCCAGACTTGTGTAATGGACAGCTCTGCATCTGTAGTCTCCCTACACCATGTGATCTTGAGGACTGAGTTTGTCAGAGATTTCTGGCTACTGACGAATTACCCCAGAACCTAACACGCTTATACAGCAGGTTAGGTTCTGGGCTACTGCTGTAAAGTGAAGATCACTGTAAAATGAAACAGGCATTTTTTCACTTTCAAACGCATATATAAGTGTAGGTGTGGGAGGTCTTGTGGGCACAGAAACATGCGAGCGAGAAGATGAAGACTCGAGGACAGTTTGGAGTCCAGGGCTGCAAGTGTTAGATACAGAGGTGATTGTGGAAGTTGTGACCACAGAGGAGACCATGGAAGTAGGTACCACTGAGGCTAGAGGCTTCTTAGTAACTCTAGAATAAGAAAGTCATGGAAGTCTCCCTTGGAGGCAGAGAGAAGAGTGCCATGGTTTAAGTGAAACCATTCTCTCTGAGACAGCAGATTTCTCGTTCTTTTAAGTAAACTTAGCAATGGTGAGAATAAGCTGGGTAAGCATTATTACAATTAAGCTTAGCAAAAGATAGGCTGCCGGATGTATTGGTATGGTAGGCAGCTGCTGACCATACAAACACAGAATGGGCATTTTACCATGGACCTGCAATATTTCGGTGGGTGGCCGAAGCACCAGCAATTTCTGCACTGTTGTGGTGTAGGGATCAACTCTAGGACTTGTAAATGGTGTCCCGCAACATAAACTGAGGATGAGGGAAAGTAGTATATAAGTGTCCACTTTGAGAACTGGGAGGTCTTGGAGCTCAAGTTGCTCCAGAATGTTGGCATCGCACATCTGGAGATCATGTTGAACAATGGTACCATTGCAAAGAATTGAGAGACACGAGTTTTTGAATTATGACAGGAGGATTATCTATGGAGGTAAGAAGGGAAAGATTATGAGCCTGGACAGCATTTTGTACTGTGACAATGCATGCATCACTCTTAAGAACTTGAAATGAAATATTTTGACCAACATAGCACAGGATTGCTTTGCTGATACTATGATCAGAAAGACAGTCAGTGGGAGATGTAGACTGCAGAGTGAAAAACTTAGTCCATTGTGTATTTTGAAATGTAGTGTGTAAGGGGAGTGAGGGTTGTGCTGGTCTTTTCTGGTAACAGCAAGAGGTAATCAAAGCAGTGTCATCTATTAATGGTCGTGGTCATTTAGGTGTGGAACCAGAAGTGGTCTGTCCTGGCTATCTGAAAATTGTAGTACAGTAGAGGGAGAAGCTGAAAGCATGGTATCAAAGGAGTCAGGCAGAACCTTGATACCAGTAGTGTGCAACGAAATGTTACCTGCAGATGGTACCGTGGTGGTAGAAAGGTCCAAAGAATGGTTCGATAACAAGGTAGGATCGTCAGAGGGCACTGCAGCACCCGTACATTGGCATGCAATACTGGTGGTCATAGCAGTAGTAGTAATAATTGTTACAGTACCATTATATGTAATTGGGAGTACCAAACCCATAGGGGTCACATAGTGCCTGGTAGCAATGAGGGGCATTCAGATTTGATCTAAAGGGAAGGCAGGTCCACTTCCTTGGATCAAGAGCCCACAGTAGCAGCATTCATGTTTTTAATCAGGGGAAAGTGCTAAACCCATAAGGGGTTATATGGCATCTGTGGAATGACACTCAGATTTGATGCAAGAAAGGGAAGGAGCTCGAGCTCCTCACTGGCATGAAGGCACCTCTGCTGAGGGGCGTCATTCTTTAATTATTATTATTATAATCAAAAAGAAGCGCTAAGCCACAAGGACTATACAGCGCTGCAGGGCAGGAAGGAAGCGAGGGCATCAGGTGGCAAAAGGGAGATGGATGAGCAACAGGTTACGGATAACAGCGGGGCAGTGGATGGTGAAAGGGTAAAGGGCAGCAAGAGACTGAACCAGAAAGGGCTGAGGGGAGTGCGAAAAGTATCATCAGAGTTTGTGGAGTAAATCAGTCGTTGTCAAGAAGTCAATGAGAGAAGTCCAGGTTTAAAAGGAGGGTCCAATCAGCAAAAAGGGGAAAGGGTAAAGAGAGAGTAGGAGAACGAAGACGACGTTGGAGGTAAATTCCTGCGTGCTCGTTGATAGAGAGGGCAGTCTAACAAAATGTGGCAATCGATACGAACTTGACACTGCTCACAGAGAGAACAGGGTGCCTCTCCATGAGAAAACCCATGAGTAAGACGAGTGTGGCCAATGCGAAGGCGGGAGAGAAGTGGTCCTCCCAACCTCGGCACTGATGACAAGAAGACGGCCAGAAACCTAATGCTCGGTTTAATAGAATGAAAGTTTTGTTACCGAGCAGAGTTTGACCAACTTTTGCCAACGGGTGCGAAGGGGGTAGCTATTGCAGCAAAATAGTCCAGAAATGGAAACACCTTCGTTTAGGAAATTGGTAGGTCATATACTGCTGACCGCGCAGCAGTGTCTGCCTGTTTCATTGCCCTTTTACGTCGACATGACCAGGGACCCAACAAAAAACAATATCTTTATGTTTGGTAAGATACGGCGTAGCCAAAGTTGGATACGGAGAACTAGGGGATGAGATGTATCAAATTTTCGTATAGCTTGTAAGCACTAAGGGATCTGAGACTACTACAAATGATGACACAGGCATAGATGCGATACGAATAAGTTGCTGCAAGAATGGCAAAACAGTTCAGCAGTAAAAATGCTACTGAAGATAGTAAATGCCCTCGAACGACGCTGTCCGGAAACACTGCTGCGAAATCCGACGCCGTCTGAAGACTTAGAGCCATCTGTGTACACAGGGGTGGCATGAGAATGGGAGTGGAAGTGATCAAAAAAAGAGAGCGGAAGCCACCGTAGGCAGTTGAGCTTTCGAGAAAGGGGGAGTGAGAAAGAACAGACCCAACACCCTGGAACTTCCCCAGGGGGGTAGGGAAAAGTGAGATGCTAACATGAACATATAAAGGTGGTAACTGAAGGGAAGACAAAAAGTGAAAGTAGGCGAAGAAAAAAGGGGACGGAGCAAACAGGGGCGGCGAACGAATAAAGAATGTCTACTAATATCGGTGACCATTCTATAAAGGGAAGGATTGTGTAGATCGTGAGAGCGTACATAGTAACGAAGGCAATGGGCATCACGGCGACAGACAAGGATGGAACATTTGCTTCTGTATAGGGGCTCTCAACAGGGGAAGAGCGAAAAGCCCCAAAGGCACAAACGTAAGCCTTGGTGATGGATAGAGTTAAGGCTAGAGAGAGTAGCAGGAGAGGCCCGGAATAAATCTGGTCACCAAACCCAGTTTCGATAAAACAGGGTTTGAATGTAGGCGAAGCAGAGTTCGACGATCAGCTCCCCAGGAAAGATGAGCAAGGGTTTTAAGAAGGTTTAGCCGCTGTGACAAGTTGCCTTCAGAGGGGTAATGAGGTTTCCAGGGTTAACCGACGGTCAAAGAAAAGGGCCTAGAAACCTACTGTATCACGTTGGGGGATACGGGAGCCATAGAGATACAAAGGATGATCGGAGATAACAGAGCGTCAAATGAAAGTAATTTGGTGATTTTTGGTAACTTGAAAATTTAAACCCATTTTGTGGTGGCCCAAGTGGAAACACGGTCGACCGCCCATGCGGGAGAGAAACTGCAAAAAAGGTGACAGTCAAGCGCCTGCACAAGCAATAGCGAAGTCATCAACATAGAGTGATGACCAAATATTGGGTGGAAGAACAGAGGCCAAATCTTTTAAATAGCAAGGAGAAAAAGGTTGTGCTTAGAAACACATCCCTGGGGGACACCTTCAGTTTGGGACGAAGTCCGGGGAAAAGAACATTATTGACTCGAACACGGAAATGTCTGTCAGTTAAAAGTTCTAAGGAAGGATGGTAGATTGCCTCGGAGGCCTAAGGAATGGGCCTGGCCAAAATATTATACCTCCAAGTTGTGTCATATGCCTTCTCAAGGTCAAAAAATAGGGCAATAACTGAGTGATTATTCGCAAAGGCATTACGAACAAAACGTATCCAGCGTAGAAAGGGGGTCTATGGTAGAACGAACCTTACGAAAGCCATATTGATAGCGGAGAGACTGTTGTGAGTCTCTAAATACCACATTAAAACTCGATTTACGGGGCGTTCCATCACTTTGCAAACTGCACTTGTAAGAGCGATGGGCGATAGTGGGAGGCATCATGTCCTGTAGTACCCGGTTTTTGCGGAAAGGGAGAACAATGGCAGATTTCCACAGCGGGGGAAGAACTCCTTGTGCCCAAATAAGATTGAAGAGGTGTAAGAGACTCCCAAGGGCTGACCGATGTAAATGTTGAAACATACGAATATGAATGTCATCAGGCCCAGCTGCCGATGATCGGCAAGCTGAGAGCGTTGCCTCCATTTTCTTGAAGTGAAAAAGGCACATTATACTGTTCTTCTCCGAGAGAAGAAAAGTCCAAGGGTACTAACTCTCTGGCAGACTTTGAGGAAAGAAACGAGGGCATAGATGGAGCCCTCGGGAAATACGGACCAGATGTTGTGCCAATTCAATGGCAACGTCGAGAAGGTTGCTAAAAATCAACACCAGTGACCCTAGAACAGGAGCCGGGTCAGGAGAGTATTTACCACTCAATTTCCTCACTTTTTCCAGACTGCACTCATAGAAGAAGCAGAGGTGATGGTGGAAACATAGCCCTCGCCCAACAAGTGCGTTTAGTTTCAGGGATGACACGGCGAGCGATCGCACCTTCTGCTTAAAATCAACAAGTCTCTCACGGTTCTATTGTACCGGTACCTGCCCCATGCAGCACGTTTCAAACGTACTGCACGAGCACAAGCAGGAGACCACCAAGGCACACGCACTTCTGAGAATGCCTGCCTGGGGTTTTTGGGGTATAGAATGAGAAGCTGCGGTATAAACTGATGTCGAGAAGATGTGTAGGAGCTCATCAATGGAGGATGAAGAAGGAACCCCCACTAAAAGCATGAGGTTTTGAGTAAAGATCCCAATTTGCCCGATCAAATTGCCAGCGAGGGCTACGGAAAGGTGGTGATAGGAAGGAGAAGTAAGAATGACGAAAATGATCGCTGTCATGTAAGTCTGGTAAACAGACCAGGTGAAGTCTAGTGCAGTGGAGGAAGAGCAGACGATAGATCGATGCAAGAGAGAGTAGAGTACGAGGGTCAAAATGGGGGGGAGTACCCGTATTTAAAACATGGAGGGGGTGAGAGGCAAGAAAAGCCTCCCCAAATGAATGCCACGTGAGTCACAATGAGACCCCCCCCCCCAGAGGAAATGGTTGGGGATTAAAATCACCAAGTAACAGAAGTGGTGGTGGTAAGGATGAAACAAGAAAGGCAAAGTCTGGGATAGAAAATGCCCGAGAAGGAAAGAGATATAAAGAACATATTGTAAACCACTTATTCAAGTGGATACAGGCTGCAGTGTAATGCAGCGAGGTATGGACAAATAGTTGACAGTACGGAATATCATTGCGTAGAAGAAGGGCACTTTCATTAAAGGTCCCATCTGAGAAAGGATCCGAAGAATACAATAAATTACAGCCTGAGATAGGTTGGAAAACAGCCGAGTGTAATTTTGTTTCTTGTAAGCAAGCACAAACAGGGGAAAACCTGGAAAGCAACATCTGAAGCTCACCCCGATTACCCCTGAGGCCGCGGATATTCCACTGTAAATAGGCCCCTGATTGGCGATGAAGAAAATATCAGGAATCTTTGGTAAAGGCACCTACGGACTAGAGGGGTTAGAAAAGTCAACGTGTGGTGGCATTGGAAGATGTTCAAGTAGCGAAGGAACGAGCGTTGCGAAGAATGGGGTTGGAAGATGGAGGAGAGGGAAAGAAGGAACAGGAAGTGAATCAGTGTCCATTGAAGGTTTAGTCTCTGCAATAATTCTGAAATGGCTTCAAGTGTTTCTGAATTCAAAAATGTATGGGAAACCATATTGGGGATAGGAGGAGGAGGGTGAGTAAAGATTTGGGACAGTAATGGACTGTACCAAAGTAGAGGGGGGGGGAAAAGTGTAAGGGACTGGAGATGAAGTGGGGGGGACAAAGAGGTAGAAACCTGGGAGGTGACAGAAGAGGGAAAACTTGGGAGGGGGTGGGGTGGAAGGCATAGTACGAGGAGGAGGGTGAATCTCCACACTTGTAATAGAGCCAGAGAGAGGGAAGAACTAGGTACAGAGACTGGAAAGGTAAAGTGTGGAGGTGGAAGAAGGGAAGGAAGGGGCAAAGAAGATTTGAGCAATGTGGATTTTTTGGACTTCTGAGTAGAGGGGCGATTGGTATTTGGTGTCGTACGAGGTCTTGTCGATACTGGGGCTTGTGAGGAAGACGCGAAGATGTGAGAACAACTGAGTTGTAGTCGGGACGTCAGAGCCAAGGACAGCAAAAGGATTAGATGCCGTAGTGGCTATGGGAGGGGTAACAACAGAGGGGGCTGCAGAAGATGGGACCCCAGAAGTGGGGGGACGTTTGGAAACAGAAATAAGAAACACGGGTATCTCCCTTGGGGGCGGAGATGAGTAACTGCCATAGCATAAGGGGGACCTTCTGCCTCTTTGAGGCAACGGATTTCACGTTCATTTAAGTAGACCTGGCAACGGGGGAGTAACGAAGGGTGAGCTTCATTACAATTTAAAGGGAAGATTGGAGGTTGACTGCAAGATGTATTAGAATGGTCGTCGGCACCACAGACTGGGCATTCGGCCATAGATCGCAATATTTCGCTGGGTGACCAAAACGCCAGCAATTTCCCACATTGTTGCGGTGTAGGTATCACCTTTCGAACTTGTAACCGATGTCCCGCGACATATACAGAGGACGGAGTTTCTCGGCTGTCAAAAGTTAAACGAGCCACATTGCAAGGGTAACTCTCCGCCCCCGGGCAGGAAGGGCATAAGTGTCTACTTTGAGGATTGGGAGATCCTGGAGTTCCAGCTTTTTAAAAAAAGTCCCTTGCCACATGACTGGAAATTCTGTTGGACTATGGTATGGGCAGAA